TTTAACTTCACAGCGAAGGATATTGGACTCGAGACAACGTAAGTTCAACTTCACGACGAAGGGACCGCTGGTTGTCAACAAACAACTTCTCAATTTCAGAGCCAATTTCAACTTCACAACGAAGGATATTGGACTCCAGACAACGCAAGTTCAACTTCACGACGAAGGGACCGCTGGTTGTCAACAAACAACTTCCCAATTTCAGAGCCAATTTTAACTTCACAGCGGAGGATATTGGACTCGGAATAGTACTTGGATTTCAACTTCACGACGAAGGATATCCAATTCTCAGGTTCAACTTCACGACGAAGGGGCCATATACAATTCCAACTTCACAAACAGATTGACCCAACTTCACGATGAAGGAGTCATCTGTAACACCACAACACCAAAGTCTTCCGGTCAAGTTTCACCTTCACGATGAAGTATCTTGAGCCAAAAGACGATCCAGAGACCACTCATCAAGTGCTTTGAGTCCGATTTGAACTTCACAACGAAGGATATCATGCTCAGAAGCTACCAGTTCAACTCAACCTCACGACGAGGGAGTCATTTTGTGATTCAATTCGAATTAACAGATCAGCGATTACACTAGACGAAATTTGTGTCTTTAATCTTTGCTCTATTTTCGTTACACGATAATGAGCAAAGAGGGGCAGCTGTAGACACAATATTTTCGTCCCATATGTCATGCCTTTATAATATATTATATTAAACATATATTATATATTATATTAATTATTTTTTTTGTTTTGTTACACATTTCAGGTCCAAAACATTGGCCCACCATGCGAAACCCACAAACCGGTCCAACTAGGGTTTTGAAACCCTAGCTTTCTTCATAATGTTTCAGCGCCATTTTTGTGGTCAACCGAACATCTCCAGCTAACGCCTCACGCCAGCCGCTCGCCGTTCTTCACGCATCAACGCCGGATTTCTCGGAAACCAACAGAAACAATCAAGGAGCATTAGAGTTCTAAACCGAATAGGACTCTAAAAACAACTTATTTTTGTAACTATAAATTACATGCACACACACACAAGTGAGGGGAGGAGGAGAAAACAGAGGGTTGTACACAAAAAAAAGGCATTTGTAAATCGCAAAGGAGCATCAATAAAAGGTATTTTTACCTCGTTTCATTTCGGCTGCTGGGTGTAATCGGCTTCGGCCTTCGTTGTTTCTCACTGCGCTTTTCCGTTCGTTTCAAAAAACCTCATAAGCGGAGATTTGGCCGAGGATCCAAGGGGGAAAAACCGGGATCTTTCTTTTAGATCTACCCCCGAGGCCTAATTTTTTGAAAAAATGGTTTTGATATTCGAAAAGGGGAGAAGAAAGACTTTCGGAAAAATCAAATTTTTTTAAGGTTTGGCGCCGATGAACGGCAGCCAGCGAGGTGGCTACGGTGGGTGTTTTCTGGAAAACGGGGCCTGTGTTCTTCACTTGGAAGAATAGCCCAAAGAATTTAGAAAGGGGGAGGGTCTCGGCTATTGAAGAAGAGAGAATAAAATTTTTTAAAAACAAATTTAACTTAAATACATGGCCCGTTTAGACCGTGGCCCGATCCGCTCCATGCAATGGATCCGCGTGTTTCTTTTCAAAAGAGGGTTACGATTCATTTTTCCGTTCAATTTGGTCCCTTCACGTTTTTCCCCCCTCTTATTTTTATTTAAATAATGCACTTATTATTATCTATAGTCAACCATATATTTTTATTATTTATTATTCTTATTTTTTATTATTTGTTATTATTGTTACTTCTTTCAATATTTTAATTTAAATATATATATATATCACTATTATATTTTATCAGTATGTACGTATATTCTTTTATTATATTATACTTTTTTTCCTTACTTTTATTTATTTAGTTAGTATGTATATATTTATTTTATTATTATTTTTTCTATCTAATATTTTATATGTATATATTTTTATTATTTTTACTTTATTACATATTATATATATATATATATATTCTACACACATTTATTATATACGTTTTTTCCCTTACCCTTTTTTTTATACATTTCTTTTCTTTATTTTATATTACTTCCTTTATTCCATTCATTTTTGTACTTTCTTCATTATTTATTTCCATTTTATCTAACATGTTACATGACCTTTTTAAGGATGATTTCACATAAATCTAAGGTAAGCAGTTTGGATTGTAATTTTACCTTTGAATTTAAACTTTTGACTTTCGTACTTAAAGATAACTGGAAATTACGTAGTACCGAAAGGGCGGTTCAAGGGTGCTAATCCTTCCTTGACCGTAACCGACTCCCGAATCCGACACATCTTTGGTAAGATGCAGATCAGGTAATAAATAAGGTACCCGATTAACCTATTTATTTTTTAAATAAATGATCGGTGGCGACTCCAACCCAATTCATTTAATCTAAGTCGAAGCCCGATTCCGTCAAAAGACCATCAATTTTTTAACGGAAAAAGACGAGTTTGGAACATAAAAATAGTTAGGTGACTATTTTGTAACTTTTAATAGTCGATGGACTATTTTGTAACTTTTAATAGTTAGGGAACTAAACAAAATAGTGTCCTATAATTGGAGGATCATGTATGTATTTTACTTTTTTTTTGTTTTGAATGATTAATGTATAAGTTTCGAACTTTAATATGTATTAAATATCATAAGTAGGTTTGTAATTAATATTTTAATATATATTTTTTATGATGATTAATTTTTCTTATAATAATTATTCGGACACATATTATTTATATTTACAATTACTTATAACTTAAAAGATTTAAATCACATGTCATATAATTAATGAAATTAATCTAAATTGAATTTAGTTTAATAAATTTGATTTATCCATTATTTAACTTTTAATATATATAACTTTTTCATTAATTTAAGAATAAATTTAAAAAAAATGTAATTTGATTTTATTTGATAACTTAATAAAAATTTCAATTGAATCACTTGAATATATTTGATTATTCTTCTAACCAAATTTAATAAGATATTTAATAATACAATTTAAGTTATTTTATTTTCTGTTTTCTCGAAGGCCTTTATGTTGCATGGAATCACGGCTTTGAACGTGTCAAATGTAAAATTGATTGTGCTGAAACTCATAAGTTTATCTCCTCCATTTACTCCCACACTAGCCCCATGGCCCTTGTTCGTGCGATCTCAAACATGTCTTCTAACATATGGATGGTTGACTTTGTTCTAATTCGTCGTGAAGCAGATTTTGTCGCTGACTCTATTGCTAAAGTGGCCCCTAGCCTTGATGGTTTCTTACGCATCCTTCCGACTCCTCCCCACATCACTAATTGTTTACATAGTGACATTCATGGTCCTTATCTAAGGCACTAACCTCCTTGTAATGGCCTTCAGCCTCCTCTTTGTTCAGATTTTTTTTCTTACTCCAAACATTTGTTACAATATATAAAATAAAAAATTACGCCTTTTGTTGAAACTATTTTGTGATAATTTAAGTATGTTATACATTTATAAAATCTATCATATAGATGGAGTCGTCATCAATCATTTTAAGCTAGATACGATTGAGTACTCGTAAATTGTGGATTGTGTCTAAAATCAAAACCAAAATCAAAGTCAAGACTTATTAGAAGTGAAGAAAATTGGAGCACCCGATGTCGCTCAAACTTGATATATTTTCAAAAGTCATATATTGTTTCATTTTAAGAAGTTGGAATAAAAAAGACTCTTTTGTTAGCAATGCAAATTATAATAAATAAAAATAATGTATAAAATAAATAAGACAAACAAAAATAATAATGAGATAAACAAACAAACAATAAAAAATATACAAAAACATGTTATGACTAAATTGACAAAAATGAAAATCAATTGGGCTAAAATAACATTGGTTAATGCAAAATTAGGGCTACATTACAACTTAATACTAAGGATGGGTTGAAAGAGTAACTTAGCCAAAAGATCAGAAGGGTTGGGTCGCAGGTTGAAAAATGGGTTAAATGTTCAAAATGGTGACATTTTGGGGGTCTGATTAGTCATCCTAAATTGGATCATTTTGGAAGGGTTCAAATATCATATTTTATCCTTTTTCTCCCCATTTTCTCTCTCTTTCTTTTTCTGCTCTATGTCTTCTCTATAAGGCCGACAGAAATTAACGTCTATGTCGTCACTACTCATTCAGTTATTACTGTGCATCGCCAGTCATCGTTGATGGTGAAATTATCATAAAATTACATGGGCAACCTATGTAATCCTCTGTATCCAACCAAGATGATCCGAATCAAATATTAGATGCCAAATTAATCACAAGAGTGACTTATATACAAATTTAAAATTTAGGGGTTCATTAAAAATCCTAATATGTATTTTTTTTTTGTAAAGGAACGAAGAAACCAAGATTACATTTTATTTAGCTACTGTTATCAGCATGCTGCAGCTCACAAACCTCCAATGGTAGGTTGTTAAATTGGAGAACATCGAAGCCATCTGAGGTGGCTTGTTTAGCCAATTTATCGGCTACCTTATTTCCGTCACATCGCACTTGCCGAAGTTTGATAACCCATTGTTATCGACACAATTCACGAATATCCAAAAGGATGGTGGGGAACCCTTGTCGAATTGCCACCTCTTGTATGAACGAATCGCCTCCTTACTATCGGACTCTACCAACCGTCTAAAATCTAGATCTCATGCCATTAGCATGCCAACATAAATTCCCCATAATTTCTACCTCCAAGACCGAGCGTACTCCAATAAAATTTGAAAAATCAACTAGCCAACTAGTTATTTGGTCACATATCACACCACCACACGAAGGTCGACTATCCATTTCAGTCTGGGCACCATCAGTGTTTAACTTGACCCATGTAACACCCAATCCGATCGGACCTGAAATTCGGAAGATTTGGATTCTACACGGGACCACCGAAGCAATTAACCATTTTTTTTGAAACACATAACTCATATTAGCATAAACCATTCATAAATTAAAACGTAACATTTAAGTTTTACAAACGAGGAGCTCCCAAAATAATATCTCCAAATAAAATATTAGAGTTTACCAAAAGAGTTACGACTCAATTACACATAAGGTCTAGAAATACATGCCCACTAAAATAACCAAGACATAATTTGAAGCTCGATGAAATCTAGAATCTACAATCTGGTGATAAGCTCCTTGAACTGGAACCTAAGAAACTGCGAACGGAAACAATTTGGAACGTTGAGCTATGCGCTTAGTGCCACACAAATAACTCCACTATACTACATGCATCCATTAAATGAGTATGCTAGAAAGTATAATTATAAATAAACAGAATGCATCAAGCACGGGTCACTACACAACATCATGTACTTTTAGAACTACGAAGCATAAACATTGCCATCGAATAACTAAAGTACCTTAGAACAAATACGGAAGTGCATTTGCACTAATACTAAAGTGCCTTGGCACTGTAAAAAATGTATCCAAATGTCTCACAAACATATATATTAGACGGTCGCTATACATTCAAGTATATTGGGTGTCTTCGTCGTTTCTCGAGTGTCAAACAAAGACATCAATCTTATGCATTATCTTTTCATAGTGTTTTCATGCTTATCATAGAACATTAAGGGGTTATCACTTTCAAGCTTATTAGGGCTATTATGTGGGTTCTAAACTCCTTCCCCAGCAATTAACCGAAAATCATGCTTTTTGCCTAACTTAAAACGTTGGTATCGAGATCATATCAGTATCGATACCGTCACATGAGTATTTGTACCCATCCTTGGTACCAGTACCAAAATTGGTCTCTGGAATCTGAGAAGGTTTTAAAGTATCAGTACCTCTAGTGATGGTCTTGATACTACTTTATCGATTGGTATCGATACTACCCAAGTATCGATACCAAAATGGGTCTTTGGAATTTGGCAACCTAATCGATGGTATTGATACACTAACCTCGGTATCAGTACCTCAAGAACATTATCAATACCCTTTGATAGAGTACTGATACTACTGACCAAAATCTCTTGACTTCGATTTTCTTATACGAACAATATCGATACTGTTATTACAATATTGACACCTTAAACCCAGATAACTCTATTTTCTCATGAGTAAAACTCTTACCTACAACCAAAAATCCTTCCTAAAGTCCTCGAATGCTATTTAAAGCTTATGGGAATTTAAGGAGATCATAATATATCATTTTAGTGCATACTAAACATCAAAATACTCCATTTCCCTCATGAATCATAAACAACCCATTTTCACCCATACAGAGAACAAGCAAGCAATTCACTTCTAATGACTCTACAAGTGGTATAAGAGAGTTAAAGTGTGTTACCTTACTACAGCTGATGGAAAACGTCCACAAGGGTTACCCAAGCACCAACATCTTCTTTCTCTTGCCCTTGAAGCTTTCTCCAACTTCTCTCACTTCACCAAAAGCAATAAAGAGGATTACTAACTTACTTAAAGACATTAAGTGAGTAGAAATATGATTATAAACTCTTAGGGATGGATTTGGAACATCCTAAAGATCTAAAACCTAAAAACTCTCTAAAACCCCCCATCTTGACCACCATGGTCAAACCTTAAGATGGTGATCTTGAATTGAAGCTCTACGGGAGGAGATTAAGGATCTTACCTTCACAATTTGGACTACGGCATGTAGACATTAAAGGTGCTTCCTTTGCTCTAGCCACTAAGAAGATAATGATGAAGCTTTGAGAGGAAGAAGAAGACAAGGTAAAGGGGAAAATCAGCTTTCCCAGCAATTGACATTACCCAAATTTTAATGTTTTCAGCCTTTCAAAACTTTGAGGGTTAATTACTACCCTAGTTCTTCCTCCTTTGGTCATAATTTAAAAATGCCACTTTTCTAATCTTTTGGGCTCAACCCAAGCCCAAAACCAAGTCATTCATAACCCAAATGTCCCACAAGGCCTTACTATGGCACCGAAGCCCAAAATATTTACCTGAGATTTCTTACCTAGTTTTTGGGATGTTACAAACTATCCCAACAGAGGAAGCAACCCGAAATTGAGACTGACCCCTATCAAAGATCCCATGCAACTAAAAGTACCTGCTCCATCGATAGCATGATGAATGACCTTCAAAAGATTCCGACTTCGCTCAAAACTTGATATACCAAAATCCACCAGATTTTTGAAGGCCATAGCATTTCTGAAGAGCCAAAGGATCCAAATAATTGCACACAAAAAATCTTACTCCCTTGAATCAATCGTGAAATACTATAGGTTCGTAATATTCAAACCAATCCAACCACAAATATCTATGCTAAGAAAATCTTCCAATTTTTCCCTTTTAATCAATATCAACCAAATAGAATATGCAGTAGGACCTAATCGAAACATGTGATTAATGTCTTCCACATATGCAGAACATATCAAATAGTTACTATCTGTGGTGAAGTGCCACTACACTCTCTCATCATTGGTCATCAACTTACCACAACATACCAACCACATAAATATCTTAATGTGTTGTACCCTCCGGAAACGATGAATCTGTTTCCAAAGGTAGTCTACGACTATCTCAGACATATTACTTTGAATTTCATATGTCACTTTCATTAAGAAGTTGCAATCCTCTCGACCCAAATACTCCATTGTATTCTCATAAGTGAACACTTTGCCCCCTTCATAGCATTAATGTGTAATAAAATCGATCATGGAAGCAAATGTTGGAAGAGTTACGAATGCCAATTATCTTCATAATCCACCATGTCTGCCACTCAAACACTTCCAATAATAGGAGCAGCATGCAGTAGCACATAATTAATTAGAGGAATATCATTCGAGACCAAATCATCAAGCCAAAAATGCATCCCTCTCATTACCAATATTCCAACATATATTATTACATACATCACTCCAAACAATGCCCAGCTCTTTCCATAGCGTCGAAAAACTACCACGGTATAATGTTGTCGGTGTACCATCATCGCATTTATATTTGGCGCAAAACGAACCCACAAGGCTCATTTATTAGCTACTAAATTGAAAGCCAACTTCATGAGAAACACCTCATTTTTAGTACTCATCGTTCAAAATTTGAGACCTCATTGCGAAATTGACTGACAAACATCTTCCCAACGAACTAGATGGACAACCCTATTATCTGGTGAAATCCCTTATATGAAGCATCGAGTTAGTCATTCCAACTCTACACATATTCACTTAGGAAGGACTGTCGTTTGCATCGTATATGATGGAATTGCTGATAAGACTACTTTAGCGAGCGTAATTCTCCCCGCAAGTGAAAGCTTTTCGCCTTCCACCCACTCAATCTCTTCTGAACTATTTGCACTAAGTATTCATATGATGCAACATTTACCCTTAAATGAAGAATGAGAACACCCAAATGTTTTTCGAGATCCAAAACCTTTACAAAGTCAAAGGTCGAGCTTATCTGTAAGCATAAATCCAAAGGCATATTCTTTGAGAAGAACATAGTAGTCTTTGCAATGCTCACTTTAAATCCAGAATCCGTGCAAAGTTATAAAAAATGTCTTTTATTACTGTTAACTGATCAAATGAAGCTTCCGCAAACAATATCATATCGTTTGTAAAAAAAAGATGAGAAATTTTCAGACACCGTTTAGAAGATCTAAAGGTCTGCCATTGTGACTAATAACTTTTATCAGAATCCTCTGAATAAGTCGTTCCATACACAAAAGAAAAAGATACGAGGAGATTGGGTCTTCTTGACGGATGTCCCTTGATGGTTTGAAGGAATCTGACATCGAACCATTCTAGAGAATTTGCGTTGAAAGTGAAGATACACAATGAATGATAAGATGTCATAGTGAATCTAGAATCCTGATATCCTAAAGCGTATCACCAATAAGTCCCCATTCTAACTGATCATACGCCTTCTTCAAGTTAATCTTAATAACCATCTAACCATGCTTCCTAGTTTTCCTCCGCACTGTATGAACAATATCCTGAGTAATGATAATATTGTCAGTAATTGAGCGTCCAAAGACAAAACTAGTCTGGTTCTCTATGACCCATCTCGGAAGTAACAGTTTCAGCCTATTAATAGTAATCCTAGTGAAAACTTTATAGATTATCGTACATAGAATAACTGGATGGAATTGACTCATCCATTATGAAGTGGAAACTTTAAGGAGAGGAACAAGCAAAGTTTTATTCAAATGATTTGGTAAAATGCCATCGACAAAGATTCTCTCGACACAATCGCACACCGAGTAACCCATTATGTTCCAATTCTTTTGAAAGAAACCAACGTGTAACCAATCAACTCTAGGTTTTTAATAGGCCTCTTATAAAAAACAGCATCCTCAATTTCCAATTCTGAAACCGGGGCTGCCAAGTTATTGAGTTCGACCTGATTAGCTTTCGGAAACAAACCAAAAGTCCCATAATGATGGCTAGTAATATCATCACTCGAGAAGAGGGAATGATCCATACCCATCATCTCATTCGGATTAGTGCACTAGGTACCATAGACTCATTTTAAATCTGTGATTTTATTCGCACTATGCCTAGAAAGAGTGGGGACATGATAAAATATAGTATTTAGGTCTCCCTCTATGACCTAATGCACGCAAGCCTTTCACCTCCATAATTTATCCTCTCGTTCGATTACATTTTCAAGTTCAACTCACAAGTTGTGTCCCAAATCGAAAAGGAAATTGGAGTGACCTGAATGAAGTTCCCTCTCTATACCTCTCAACCGTGATAATAAAACATTATTCTTCCTGATATTTCCAAAGACCACCTTGTTCCAATTTGTCGTTTCTTCTAGGAAGAAGTCAATATTAGTTTCAATAGCTGCATCTCTCTTCTAAACAGACCCTAGAAAATCTCGGAACTTGGGATGATATTTCCATATTTTCATAAGTCGAAAAGGCCTCATTTGATCCCCGACTATAGGGCGCTGCTTTGTTGAGTCCTCCGATTATTAAAAGTTACAAAATGGTCATCCGACTATTAATATGTCCAAACTCATCATTTTTCGTTAAAATAATTAGTTACGATCTCAGCTGAGCGTTAAATTATTAACTGAGATATGATATTTAAGCTATATTTTGTGTATCGACACTCCATTTACATGATGTCATCGAGCTACTGCTTGAAACATTATGTCGTCGAGCTAGTGTTTAAAACAACGATAGTGCTAGTAGACATCATTAAAATATAATTTTATCATATTCTAATCAGTAGGTTAACATCGAGCTCAGACGACCGTCAAAGTTTTAAGGGAAAAAGACGATTTTGGAACATATGAATAGTTAGGTGACTATTTTATAATTTTTAATAGTTGAGGGACTCAAAAAAATAACACCCTATAATCGAGGGACTATTTTATAACTTTTAATAGTCAAAAGACTCAACAAAGTTTTACCCTATAGTTGGAGGACCATTTATGTACTTTTACCCTATTATTTTTTAGGTTTTGAATGATCAATGTATAAGGGAAAATTTTTGCAATAATGTTACTGAAACAAATATTTTTTAAGATAATGCAGTCAACGGATTATTTGTTGGAATATGGCGAATGCTATAGCTGTAGGGGAGAGTCGCATGGTAGTTCGACAACCTATCTTGGACGCCATGATAGCAGTGCATCTTCAAGGTTGAAAGACGGAGTTGCATTGTGTTCAACGCGTTGTTGAAAGTCACATGACTTTCCATGCGTCTCCCATACAATGAGTCAGTGTACGTGAAGCTCGCATTTGAAGCCTTCTAATGGAAGTCTGCTCCCTGCATGGGAGTAGTAATGCAACAATAATTCACAGCTTGTTGTTTAAGAAAGAAGGGTGTAACCGGGTATGAATTGAGAAACGAGAGGAGAAGACATAAGAAATAAGAGAAGAAAGAAAGGAAAAGAAGAAAGAAATACGAAGGTAGTTTTTAATTTTTTGTTGTTGTTTAAATTAGTTATTTAGTTAGTTTAGATTAAATTAAATTATTTTTCTTTAAATTATTGTTGTTTAAAAATTATTTTTTTAGATTCGTTCAAATGACAGAACAAAATCAACTATTGAGACTTGACAATCAACATATTTCTAGTCATTTGGGAATAATGGCGTTATTATTATTTAATAGAATAATATATTTTTATTTTTAACAAATTATTATTAATAAATGCTAGAAGTTTATTTTACGATTAATTGATTAATTTCATGAATTAATTAATCGTAGGAAGACAAGCAGCAAGTCCTCTGTCATCAACTCAATATTTGTGATAAGCAACACCCTTCAATTGAAGATAACTTGCAAAAGGATGATTTTACTATGTAACATTTGTTCAAGAGTACAAGTTGATCCTGAGTTTGAGGTTGGAGACCAGAAACACATTCATTTCATTTTCCGTGTGGAGAATACACGATAACTCTGAAGGATGTGACCATGCAACTCTAGGTCCCAACAAATGGGATGCCAGTGGTGCTGAAAAATGACTACTGTTGACAGTAGTTTTCGTCCGAGTGACATTTATATTATATATTATTATTAAATAATATTATAAAGCCCGAAGGCCCGGTTACAAAGTAGGCTCATAGGCCTATGTTACAACCAAGCCCAGAACCGTCCAGGCCCAACAATCCTAGTAGGTCCAAGGAGCCTGAACCCAGCAGCTAGGGTTTCCATCAGCATCTCCAACCGTCAGAAGCTCTCCACCGCATGATCAGAAAGAGATCCAAGGGTCAACAAGGCACCAGCAAAACCCTAGGGTACTCATTGTAACCCTAGGGCCTATTTTGGCCACTGCC